AGAGGGTGTGTGCCAGGCACGTGTCTCTAAACCGATCGGAACGGATAATCGCGTCATCCCTTGGTAACGCTAATTGCGTAAACGCGTCAGGAAATTGGAAAAGAACCAGCCGTGGCATGGTATAGGGAATACCAACGTGTGCCTAACAGAATGTTCCGCTAGGGAGTTTTACTCAAAGTCACTATATCTGTAGCAGCTGTTCGTGTACACGTATGTGTGTATATATATATATATATATATATATATATATATATATATATACGTCGCAGGCTTAACCGCGTGTAATTACAGCTAGCGTTATAAACGAATACGACGTGTGTCGCGACTTTTTCTTAATCGGATACCGATCTCCTCCGTGTGCCGGGATACGAGATGAGAAACGATAATTGGTAGCACTGCTACGAAGTCTGGGACTCGAAGTCGCGAGGTCGGAACGCTCGAATCGACAAGCAGGCACTCGATCAACGACCGATCGGTAAAAAGAGCCATTCGCCGGCGACGAGCGATCCTTCTCTTGCAGCAGCTGGCTGGACCGGAAATCGATAAAAACAAGACGGCCTACAAGGCGCTACCACCTTGGCGAACCGTGCACGGTTTGTAATCTTCGATCGGCGCGCACTCTTTTCTTACTGAGATCCGATCGATATAAGAGATACGCGCCTTCCGGAGTTCGCTGGACCGATTTACACTGCGGCGACACCGGGAGCTTGCGTAATCTCTGAATTAGACGGTGAATCAGAGATTTCTGAAGTCATTCAATTTTCTTCTTAGGTCAGATATAATCTACCGTACGGCAAGGCGACTCGTAGAACTTTGGAGATCGAGCATGATTTTAAACGTTGTCATAAATATTACGAAACAGCGTGCGAGGTAATAATTGCCATTGAATATTTCCCAGTGGAATTATCAGGGAGGAGATGAGAAAAAAAAAGGTGCCTGCTGTCTTTCATAAAGATTGAATGGACGGATACGTATCCGATTACGCGTACGGTTCTCATTCTTGGTGCCAGCCGAGTGGCGGGCTATTTGAATATCGGAGTACGCGTCAATTAGCAATGTGTACTCAAAAATGGACGCTCAAATCCCCCGTCGGATAATTAGCCGGTGGCCCGTGGCGCGGCACTATGGGAAAAGTAGACAATGGCTGGCGAGCGCGCGGCTAAAGAGAATACCAGAGTGAAATGGAATACGAAATGAGGGGACGCAAGAAGCGTCCGCGTTCCCTGTGTCCAAGGGGTTAACGTCTATCTCACCCCTATATCCGCTATCTCCTACGCTACCTGCACCCCCACAAAGCCCCCTGCCACTTGCTAGCTATCTTTTCTATCCCTTTTGCCGTGCTACTACCAAATCCCCGTTTCCCTTGACGAACGACCGAAGCTCCCTTGGCACGCGCCAACATCCGGTCCTCCCTTTACTTTTGCGTTTTTCTACCGCGACTCGAGGAATTACGTGGGTTGGCAGGGCACAGAGAAATCCCCGAGAGGTACAAAGGACACCCTCATCCCCTGAAGGGTAACAATTCCTTCCTGACGGACAATCACGTGAAAACGTTCCCACCCCCTTTTCAGTAGCTCTAAATTCCCCCCTTCGCCCCCCCCCACCGCCCCTTGACTCCCCGCAGCCTTATTCTACCCTTAGAACGTATGTACCACCTGAAGATAGCATAAGTGAAATACATTGGCAGACACCGAACGTCATTGCGCGACGGCCAGCCCGAAGCTGGGCAACTTCGGTCGGGTTAATTGAAGAATTTTAACTTTAATGTCCGTCCTGCCGTCCTTAGCGCTTATATCGGAACATTCGTTATACTCGAGGGCGTTTAATTTAATTTGACGTTAGCCCCGCAGTTCGGCGTCGGCCTCGCGAGTGAAATTTACTGCCCGAGACGTTCTTCGTTTTTTTTTTTTGTTTTTTTTTTTTTTTTCATCCCTTCGACTTCTTCTTCGCTTTGGCCTTTCTCGTTCCTTTTATTTCCACAATCTTTTTTCTTTTCGCCCATCTCGCCGCGCCTCCGCCGCTCTTGTACCCTTGTAATACGCAAGCGGGGAAGTCCGCGACTGTGCCGGCTAAACTTTCGCGGAATTGATTGCAGTTTATGGGTAACGGTTAGGCGCTCGCTCGTAAGCGCAGGGGCCGGCTCTATAAATTCTCAAGCGAGGGAAATGATAACTCGCCGCGGACGTAAAACCTCTTCTGAAATAATTTACAAACCGAACTCGTTAACGTATGGCAAAACGGAAGGCCGCTGAGCTTCGGAGCACGGATAGACTTTGTTTCCTCTTTACCATCCCACGTTTCTGTATCTACTGTCAGTGATATTGGATTTGCATAGATAAAAATTTTGTTTCACACAAAAACCCAATAAAATTAATATCCATTATAATAAATCCTTGATAATTATATATAAATAATAAATATCACTGAATTTACCAAAAATCCATACTGGTTCGTTGTCACCCATATAAAAAGTGACAGCCTGCAAACACCCTGGTACACATTCTTATATTTTCATACGACCACCCTACTTTAATGAATTCGTCCAAACAGGGTGTATCCCCGTTACAAGCCCTTTGTCCGAACGACAGTCGAACGAACAGAAGCCCAGATTGGTAGCCAAAGAAAAAAGGATCGATCGTCGCAAGAAAAACTGTAGATTTAAATATCTCTTTCCGGTTCTGAGGCAAATCCAGAGCTCGTGAGACGGATGAACGATTGAGATAGCGGAGGATTTTATTGGAGGATTACGTTCCTGCCTTTGCATAAATTCCATGGCGCATAATATAAAGCTAATATGCAGGATCTTGAGGATGAGGGTAGTGGTGAGCGCATGGGAATAGTAAATTTCCGTTGCAGCGAGCGGTTATTAGCATACGAGTATTTAGAATGAGTTATGGAGCAGACCGCTTATCCCAAAGGGATATATTCGGTACAGGGTCCATCCTCCGTCAGGTGTATCCCCTAGGAGGCTGCATTATGTCTGGCTGCATATTTTATCCTCCCGGTTAGGCATGAACGTAGAAAGACGATGGCCAACGTCCAAGACGCTTCAGGCATATCGCATGACCACATATGTACACACCATCTCACGTTACCCTTTCGTTAATAACTAGATGATATTGATGCTTCCACAGCCATGCCTATACCTATATTCACGCACATACCTATATAGTCGCTATACGATTATATGACAGATCAACAATCTCTATGCACGTAAAATAAGTTGGCTCTATGGCTAAGCCATTCAAATTTATGATCGACCGGCTACGCCAAGTCAATTGAACCCGAAGTGAATTTTAAACTGTAGATAAACGATCGCTGCGTTTAAACTTGAAAATTTATTTTAAAAATTTCTATCGCCATTTTCGACTTTTTCACATTTAATATATGTATCTCTTATCGAGCGGCGTCAATCGAACAATTTCATTGGTCCGGTTATTTTTACGTGATATTTCGAAAAAAAAAAAGTCCAGTGTACCCGACGACACATTTTTTATGGCAATAATGGAAACCATTACTTTTCGGATGATCCCGGGTCAGTCCTCAAAACTTTTCTGCGCTTTGCCACTTTCGGGGACATGGAAGGTCCAGTGATCAGGTGCGGACGTTTCAGCCCTTAAATTTTCCACCGCCATCTGGCGCCTTGTACCCTCCTATCCGCAAGCCCCAGGAACGCCTGCTGTTTCGCAAAACTGAGTTCCCAACAGTTTGTATTAAACAGGTCCGTCCGTATTGGTAGTGACATTGGCGTACGTAGAGTTGACATGTAATTATTCTCGAATTTTCGTGATTTCGCTAAAGAGGGACATGGAGAGGTGAACGATGGTCGAGAGCCCCGAAACGTTTAATGTAAAAATGAAACGGACGCCATTAGTGTCGATGCATTAGCGATAATGATTCGTGGATGATCGAATAGCAGGACACGAATTGCGCGTTTGTTCGGAAGAGGATATGCTATGTCGAAATAGACACGAGCATTCGGGGGCTGATGTTAATCTCCGATATATCGACGAGTCAGTTGTATATGCCCGTATGAGACTTTATATACATATATATACAGCTAGGGTTGTTTTATTGCTCGATCGTTAATTAATGCAAACGAATAATTAGCATCTCAATTATTTCCCCAATTTCGCGTGGCCCAATTAATTTCCACCGAACGGACATACGGAATTACAAACGCTTCGGCATCGCCAACGATAAGCTGTATATTGCACAATATCGATAGTCGGCTCAAAGTTATCAGCGGATACGTAAACAGCACGTAGGTAGTACAGAAAATTGAATGGTACCCCAGGTAAGACGATACTATCGCGACTGACGATGACTCTGAAGTGCGATCGATCGTTTGAAAGATCCTTCGGGTTTCTAGGAAGCTCATCGGAGACGCCATTGTGCAAAATATTATCGTGCGGCACGCGTGATTAGAAAGCCACTCTCGGGTTGCGACCAGGAAGATTTACGGTTTTAACGTTGTAGCCTGACTCTAATGGATGGCTTCGGTGGGTGACTGGACGTCTTGGCAGAATAGTTTGCTGCCGCTTGAGAATTTCGATCTTGTACCTGTCCCTATAGCCGTGTGTCTAGGAAATTAGCGAATCGCGAAGGACGCCGGGAAAGTGCTACGTCATCTGGGTACTATTTGCCAGGGTGAAATTTCATTTGTCGTCGTCGTCGCCTAATAGTCTCGAGCCCTTCGTGCAGTAGCCAGCTAATCCCGCTCTTGACTCGTGAAGTGAGAACGCTGAAGCGAGGCTTAGAGAATTAATCGAACTTGCTGCTGATTGCTAAAGAGGAACATCGCTCGCTCGCCTGCTTGCCTGGTTACGCGATTACTCGATTACTCGTTGCTTCACCGAGATATAATGACACAGGCTAAGCACTTGCATTTGAAATAGCGAAAAAGCATAGGTTCGTTTTCAACCGTAAGTATTAACACTGCAAAATTTTTCTGACACGGACTTTACGATACTTCATTATAATATTATATGTTTCCTCACCTTGGTCCACGCACTCCTATCCTAGCTGTCAAGGAACAGATGCACACACCAATAGCACTGAAATCATCGATCACAATTAAGCCACCTTTAATTCGGTAGATCGATCCTCGAATTCTAATCGACGCTTGTTATCGACAACACTGAAACTGTACAACTGTAAATTATAATGTTTATTACTTTTGATGAATCTTTTTATTTTTCTATACTTATATATAGTCGTTTAACATCGCACTAGCTGTTCATTTTCATTAAGCATTCAGGCAACACGCACGATAACGCAATGCCGCAAGATGGATCGACACTATACGACAGACCATCACTGTACAGCGCCGCGGCACAAACTGACAGCCCGAGGAGAGCACAACCCGGTCGAAGAAGAGAAGGAACGCTGGCTTTGCCACACGCGGCTCTCCGCCGCCACCTAGTGGCCGTTTCTTGAACTGTTTTCTCCGAGCTATCCTCCGTCAGACAAACATAGGAAACAGAGAACGAATGAACGTTGGCGTGAATGGACGTACAGACGGACAGAATCGGCAGTGGCCCGCAACTCCCTTGAAAAGGGTGGCTTATACGGGGGATATAGGTATAGGGGGAGGGAATTGCCAGCACGTGAGGGGTTGCAAAATATGTTATATAAATGGTCTATAGTGAATGCAGTCGGATTTCGAGGTCGAGAGAGAGAGAGAGAGAGAGAGAGAGACCTTATCGATTTTCCAACGGACGCAACGTCGACTTAGTCGTTAATTACGAACGGTGGTTAAGCCCGTTCCAGTTTTCCAGCGAACCAAGGGAATAAAGAGCCATGGGTATCCAGCCGTGACGTATAATCTGTCCAAGAAGTAGAAGAATCCTAAAGGGTTGGAAGGGACGTTGCAAAAGTCACGAGGGACGGAAGAGTCACCGCCGAGAAGAATTAACACGCTGTGGTGTACTTTCTCACCCTGCTGAGAAACCGACGCCTCCGACGCTATTTCGCCCAAGGCGCTCCTACAGTCAGAGATCTAATATACCCTGGGTTACATTAGCTGGATTTAATTTAAACCGCGTACCCCTCTACTCTAGCTGCTAGGCGGAGTATTAAACCTTCGTTACTCGAAATACCTTGATGACGTGACTTCGGGATCTCGCCAAGGACATTCCGTCTCTTCGGTACTATGGGCAAGGACAGTTCACCGGGAGGATCCTGACGCTTTATTGTAATTGCAGTGTCGCCCGAAGCCAGGAACATCTTCAGCTCGACGGGACTCGCTAATGCCGGGCCGTTTCGCAACCCTCGGGACAGCTTCATTAACAGGAAAAAAATCTTCGCGGTTGTTTCGGATTAACGCGTACGACTTTATCTTACAGATACCCTCTGTATCCGTGGTATACGTCTTCCTATATATCTATAGAACGTGCACGCTGAACTCGATACGACAGTAAAGTACGCGGGAAGCCCCGGAAGTTCTTGCGCGGGTCAACGGTCTATAACGTGACGCCCCAGCCTGTATAATATCCTCGTTTCGCAGGCCAGTTTTGACTTTATGAAAAGATACTGCCCTTGTGAATTTGCCATCCGCGATGGACGTGCTCTCGTGAACTGACCCTAAAATTCGCATCCCTTTGTCGCGGGTCCATACAACTTCCTATACGTTAGCACGTGGATATGTATAGTCCAAAGTTTAAAAGAGACTCCATAGGAACTTGTGTCATCCTTATACACCGTGAGAACTTTCCCGCAGCGACAGCAGCATCTCGCTGTTATATTTTTTAATATCTTTCGTAGGTAGAAACTTGGAAGGAAAATAAAAATTGAGGGGTGAGACTTTTTTTTTACTTACTTTTTACTGGTACATTGTACGACGCGAGCTTGCAAGAGGACTGGTAGTCTCGAATGATACTTACTGGCTGGATGGGAATGCTTTTATTTGTCAAGTATTCTACTAGAGAATGGATCGAAAGAAACTGGCATAATCACAGGAATTATATTCTCTTTGATACGACACGATATAAAGAGTCGCAGATGGTGCTCGTTAACGTGGAAGCTTCCGGTCGGAATGCGCAATGCAATCTTTCAATTCATTCTCTATGCAAATAGAAACCATAGGACGCAGCAGCAACTGCGAACTACTTTTTCGTAGCTCGGACAGTGGATTCTCGTTGCACGTTTCAATTGACAAAAAAAAATGTAACTTAGGTATTATCAGTTAAGACAAAAGTACCTTCTTCGATAAAATTAGAATTCTGACACAAAAGTTACAAAAAATTTTAATCCAACTTTGTTTCTTTGCAAAATTCATAGGGACTTAACGCTCGCTCCGATTCCCTATGAAATAAGAAAAGTTTTCTAGACCCGAGCATAAAACAAGCCGGCAAAGTATAAAAACTAAATGTTCAATTTCCTACGCGAAATTGTCATTCGTACAGAATTCATATACGTGCCGTTCAACCTAACCTAACCCAAAGAAGCAAGGAGTACCGCTCGATAAAACAGGTATACTCGTAGCGAAGGATTCACGAGGAAGAATGTCCTTACGGAATATCGAAGGAATCGCGACTTCGTCCTGGTCCAAGAAAAAATGTATTATCAAGTAAGAGAACTACGTAACGCGAATGAAAAAAAAAGTATTACGCTCCGATCGGCAAGTCCTAGCACCAGGACTATTTGCAATGTGTAAACCCGTGAAGAGTGTGTCGAAAACGTCGGTGGTCCAGGCACTGACGCACGTGCGTGCCAATCCATTATCCGAATTGGCTTATTGAAATTTCCGACTGACAGGGAATGGATGGAGATTCATTCGTTTGGCCACACTCGCAGATGCAGGGTGAAGTGGGATACATATGCTTCTAGGCCTACGTTCGTTTCGAACATTCGTACATTCGAGGGGTAGACAGCCATTTGATTTCGTGACGCACCACCCCTGCCTGCTCGCCAGAACTGGGCCACGCGAATGAATGAGCCACTAGCATCCCTGCTATTACTATCAGGAGTACAGTCAACACCGGGAACAGCCCCCTAGACAAATGCAGAATCCTTTGAATTTATAGGAGTGTATCGAGGGACGGCGAAGGAGGGGGCGGGAGGGGGGTTATTGGTTAAATCTACCAGAGAATCCTGAGACACGAGTTAAACCCTATCCCGTTTGACGTTAGGGAAGGGAAAAACAGGTCGCCGTGGAGGAGGATGATGTCGTGTAGAAAATATAGGGGGAAGTAGCACGGGATGAACGGAATGGATGGACGGTTGGTATGCAGAACGTTTTTTATGGTAGAATCCCAGGCGTTTGGTATCCCTGGTCATAAATAATACCACTCTGTATATTTGAATGCTCTGACGTATCCCACATGCCATTTGGGTTGCCCACAACCGCACGTATGGCACAGTGGCTGGGCCCCTTGAATTCTTTTCCTTTGTTTATTCCGGCACGTCAAATTTAATGCAACTCCAAGAGAAGAAAGGAGAATGAGCAGAACCTATGTGCTTACTTATTCGAGTAATGTATACCAGTATTATATGTACGTATATATGTATATATATAGTTTTTACATGTGCAATATATACATCGGGGCATGTCGTGTATTCCGGCACGAGTATTCCCCAAGTTTGTCCTAGCTTGAGAGGGTCCTTTAGGAATAGATGTACAGACGTGATAGTGGAGTACACGTGTATAGATACGAAGAGCAATGACGGTATTCAGTGGTCAAAAGAATTCTCCGGAATAACTGGACCGCTGCATCCGACGCCAGTGGATGCTGCAGGTAGTCAAAGACTCTGTCGAGATCGATCGTCCATCAAATTGCAAGGGTCCGACTATCCTGATCGAAAATTGGGTACGTCATTGCGAAATGAGCGTAAAGGCCGCGGGTAACGGACGTTCTCTGAAATCTATGCTTCGCTTAACTACGGGCATGGTCTGACTATATCATATATCGTACGTCATATATCAAGAGCCGATGCAAGATTAATAACGTACGAACGTATTTCGATTTCCCTCAAGTACCAATGGACATTATTACCAAGCAACTCATAAGAGGCCTCCTGCATCTGTCAAGGGCCGCTTCGAGGGTTGCTGGATAATTACTAGGGATGATTTTTCACGGCGGAACGAATCTGCCATAAACATCCTGAATGGAGTAAACAGACGATTCTAGAAGATGGTATTGTTCATGAAGGAGATCGTCTAGACCCGATTGAGTCTCCTAGACGTACCAAGTCTGGGGAGGAGTCTGCTAAATACCTTCTCGCAGGAGTCTTGACTTTTTACTTGTTCTCTACCCCCCATTCGGTAAGGGTTCAAGTCGAGGGCAGCTTCTACGAGAGCGGCTAAAGGCTATCGCGATGCTTCCCAGTGAAAAAGAGCCAAGAAGGACAGTTAGAGTAACGCGGATGATAAACAGCCCTGGAATAGATTTCCACCCTGGCTCGTATGGCTAGCAGTTTACCAGACTGGACTTCCGCCCTTCTGCCAGCCCCGTGGCCATGTATAAAGTCTGGCAGAATACCAAAAATCGTGAGATAGCCCAGCCTCGCGGGTACGTCGCACTTTACTTTCCACGGAGACCACCCTTAAAATACGAGGCGACTGATAGCGGAAGCCTGCTTTTCACGGGAACCTGCTTGGTACCCGTTAAATTTTACCAGCGACCGGTTTAGAAAACTTCCCTTGGTGCCCTGCGTATGCTGTAACGAAACCGACGCACGTGTCAGCTTTCCTCGCTAATATTTCATCCCTCCTTTTTTTTTTCAAACTTAGCTTACACGTATAACCTACCCTACGAAACCACCCGTCGACTCACGCCCTCCAGCACGAGTAACAATGCTACTAGCGTGTTTTCGCTCTTTCGTGGAAACCGGAAGACCCTTTGCCGAAGTGTGCCTTCCTGTCAACGACTAACGAGGCCCCGCCCTCTCTCCTCTCCTATTCTCTTCCTCCCGTTCTCTCTCTCTCATACATTTCGAGAATACTAAGAGACGCTAAACGTCATACCGGGCCCGGACTCTCCGTATGAAAACCGATCACCCTCCATTGACAGACTATACTGTATCTCCTGATGGATTACATAGGTAGGTTGTAACGCTTGATACACCTAGTATAACCTAATGTAATTTTTGGAATTCATATAAATACATATAACGCAGTTCCTATGGTCTCTTAAAATTTTCTCTTAAATTTTTACATATTACAGCTGAATCTGACTCTTGCGATTTTTTTGCAGCTTCGTCTCCTTTTCTCACCGAATCGGTCTGGTAAAAAGATCCATTCCGGTAGTCGTGTAACGTGAAGACTGTTGGGTGGGCGTTTTCTTGTTTTTGCTTTGGGTCGAGTCCGCAACTGCACAGGGTGACCGGAAACGCAGGCAAGCGATGCAGCAAGCAAAGGATCACTAAAGCAGCCATTGGAC